GAAAAAAAAAAAAAAAAAAAAAAAAAAAAAAAAAAAAGAATGATACAGGATGTCCCAGGGTCCTGGGCAGCTTAGAGCTCTGGCTCATAACCTCAGACACGTACATGCTGCAAACTTAAAAGATAACTCAAAAGTTCCATTATTTCAATTTTTTTAATGCATTTTAGTTTTGTAGAGTTGGAATAATCAATTTTTAATGTTGTCTTTTTAAGTCCTTCTGACTGAAGAAGGTGGATGTTTATAGAGAAAAGTGAACATTAAAATGTGATGATTCAACTTTCATAAGACCAAATAAGCATAAAGGAAATAAAAATAGTTGCACCTTCAAACAATGTCCTTTTAAGTTTGTAGCACTGGTACCTGCGAGGTTATTAAAGCCTCAGGCGGCTCTCGGGCTCTGGAAAGCCTATGTGTCTGTTTATTGGGAACCCCTGGCAGTCCTTTGCTCATTTCATGACAGCCTGAGAGGTGAGTTTTCTTATCCCCATTGTGCAGAGGAAGAAACTGAGGTCACGAGGAGGAGGCGTCTTGTCCCCGGGTCACCCAAGAATGTCCAAGACTATGCCCATGCACACAAGTCCTAGTTCTGGCCCTGGATGCCTGTCCTACCAAGGATGAGTTCCCTCCAAGTAACACAGCAGAAAGTCACATGAGGCGGGGTGTGGGGGATGAGGATGAGGAAGTGCTCTGTCCCCCAAGTGCCGCCTGCCATTAGTCAGCACCATGAGCCCTCGCCCCCAGCTCCTGCCCCACTGGGAGCCCCAGGATCTCCCTGGGGCCCCACCCCTCTTCCCAGCACCCTTTTTCCAGCCTTCTTGGGAAGCCACGTCACTGGAACCCCCATGGAGGGGGCTGTGCCTGGCCACCTGTGGGCTCTGGCCCACCTGAGCAGGAGAGACAGAGACCCAGAGGGAAGCACCCAGCCTGGCTGCAGGACAGGTAGCCTCGGGACACAGGGCAGCAAGCCAGGGCAGGCCACACCTCTCTTCCCTGCCAAGCGCAGCGGTCACGTGGGCCAGGGTGTGCTGGGTCTATGGCAGCCGTCGGGCTGAGGGTGCCAAGCACCTGGACTGAGCATAGCCAGGAGGAGCCTGGGGTGGGGGAGTGTCATGTGGCCCCTGAGAACCTAGGGTGGGCTTCCACTCAGTACCACCTGGGGTCTTGCCT